TTCAGCAGCAGAAAATAAACTAATTCCCCCCCCCATCCAATTCTCTGGATGATCGCTTTATCCCTCCCCCCACCGCGTGGCTAGTATCAGGGAAGATCCCTGCAGGAACCAAACTAACACCCCCCACCCCGCCATGAATTCTTTGGAATGATCGCTTTACCCCTCCCCCCACCACGTGGCTGGTATCAGGGAACGCGAAAAGCTCTGGGACAATTCCCCCTCCGCCCCCCCTGTGCTTGGCTAACTGCAGGGTAGGATTTCTTTTCAGCCACAGGCAAACAGCTCAGTAGGAACGGCCACCTCTGTCCCCTTAATTAAATTCCCGTATTTCAACCAGGTTACCATGAGCGATATCACTCTCCTGAGGATTACACAGCGAGATAAAGAACGGATGTTGCTTGAATGCCAGCAAACACCGGGACCATACGCTGCCAGGCTTTGTCATGCAGTGATACCAGATTACTTGCTGCAAGCATGGCATGGTCAAGTGTCCTACCATGGAGGACGGAATAAGGCTGCACTGCCCAGAAACCTTGTGGCAAGGCTTTTGGAGTACCTCCAGGAGAGCTTCATGGGGATGTCCCTGGAGGATTTCCGCTCCATCCCCAGACACGTTAACAGACTTTTCCAGTAGCTGTACTGGCCGCAAATGCATCCTAAGTCCTCAGGGCAAAGTAGTCATTAAAAATGCTTGCTTTTAAAACAAGTTTTATATTTTAAAAGGTAAACTCACCTGAGGTCCCTTCCATGGGGTCATGGTCTTGGATACTGGCTTGGAAGGGTACTTCAGTCAGGCTGAGAAAAAGATCCTGGCTGTTGGGGAGAACCGAGTGCTGGATGCTCTCCGCAAGCTTGTCCTCCTCCTCCTCCTCTTCCCCGTCCGCAGAATCCTCAGGTGTAGCTGATGAGATTATCCCCGCCTCGGAATCCACGGTCAGAGGTGGGGTAGTGGTGGCGGCCTCCTAGAACTCCATGCAGCTCGGCGTAGAAGCGGCATGTCCACGGCTCTGACCCGGAGCGACCATTTGCCTCCTTTGTTTTTTGATAGGCTTGTCTGAGCTCCTTGACTTTCACGTGGCACTGATCTGAGTCCCTATTATGGCCTCTCTCCAGCATGCCCTTGGAGATTTTTTCAAAAGTTTTGGCATTTCGTCTTTTCGAACGAAGTTCTGCTAGCACTGAATCCTCTCCCCCTATTGCGATCAGATCCAGTACCTCCTGTACGGTCCATGCTGGTGCTCTTTTTCGATTATCGGACTGCATGGTTACCTGTGCTGATGAGCTCTCTGTGGTCACCTGTGCTCTCCACGCTGGGCAAACAGGAAATAAAATTCAAATGTTCGCGGGGCTTTTCCTGTCTTCCTGGCCAGTGCATCCGAGTTCAGATTGCTGTCCAGAGCGGTCACAATGGTGCACTGTGGGATAGCTCCCGGAGGCCAATACCATCACACTGCGGCCACACTAACCCTAATTCGAAATGACAATATCGATTTCGGCGCGACTCTGCTCGTCGGGGTGGAGTACAGAAATTGATTTTAAGAGCCCTTTATTTCGAAATAAATGGCTTCGTTGTATGGACGGGTGCAGGGTTAATTCGATTTAACGCTGCTAAATCCGAATTAAAGTCATAGTGTAGACCAGGCCTTAGAGAGATCAACTAATAAAGACATTATTTACTCAGAGCCTTACAATACACTGCTAAAGAAGAAACAACCCTTAGGAGCACATATTAAACCTTAGTCTCATAAGTGGTCAAGTCATAATTTATTGATTATCAGCAATAAAAGGCACTTTTGTTTGCACTCTACAAAAAAGGGTGGTAATGGTGCTGGGAAGGATACAAGATACTGTCAACTTCAGCAACACCTAAAATTACTATAACAAAGATTGGAAATGGGTAAGTTTTCCTTAGTCTGTTTACTTTGTGTAAATTCAGTGTCACTGTTTTTTCCTGTACAATCACGTGCTTTCCCATTTGTTTGGGTCTTTCACACGAACAGGAGAAAAAAATTAAAATACAGAAAAGGGATTCTAAAGTAACAAAAAACAAGTAGACAGAGGCAGGTGTAGTTCCCTGAAACAACTTCTCCTTCTGAAATTAACTAAATTTCCAACTAGTGATCTAATTTCATGCTTATAAGGAATATAAAAATGAGATTATGCAATATTTGAAGAGAACATTAAAGAATTTCTAGACATTAGAAGGAAAACACCCAGCTACACAATCAAGCCTTGATCCAACATAGACTTATTCATGTGCTTAACTTTAATCATGTGAATAGTCCCACTTACTAATGCAAGTAAAGTTCAGTATGTACTTAGGTGTTTGCAAGATTGGCGCCTTCTTAGTCTTTGAAAAGGATATATCTATAAAGTTACTGGTTTGCAGTAGACTAGACAACATGTCAGAATTAGTACATTGCTGTCATGCCCACAAATTTATCTTGTTCTGCGACAGAATTGTAGAAATTGGTTACATTTAATAAAGTGTTGGCAGTCACAATGAAATTTATTTTAGATTAGTGATTATTCGGAGCTCTAAATAGCCACCCAATCCCCTAACACAATAATTCCAAAAACAATAGGCACTTTCAAGTTATTTGCCTATACTGCCATTTGAGAAATATGTTTACAGCCGAAGAGAGGCAGTATTGTCTAGCAGACAAGGCAATGAACTGGGAGTCAGAAGTCTAGGTTCTCCTTCTACCAGTGACTTACTGTATGACCTTGGACAAGTCACGTCACGTCTCTGTGCCTTCATTTCCCTTCTCATCCTTGTTCAATTTAGATTTTTTTTTTTAAATCTCTTTGTGGCCAGGACTGTCTCTTACTATATGTTTTTACAGTTCTTAAAATAATGAGGCCCTGATCTTCAGGAACTGTTATAATCAATCAATCAATAAATAAATCATTGGAAAGACTGATAAGGTTAAAAAACATGTTTTATATTAAACTCTATGCCCTCATTCTTGTACAATGGCTACGCCTTGTATACTTATGCCATTATCATCCTGAATCCTGGAAAAAGTATAGAATTCATGTGGATCTTTAACTGTCTCTGACATCTGAGCTATTACAGGATGCAAAAGATTTTTTCCTCCTGTACTGGTACTAAACAAGAACCTCCACAGAAGTATATGCTAGTCTGTTTTATTTACTTTATTTAAAAAACTCATTCAGTTCCTGTCAGGCAGAAGTACAGAAGGCTAGGATAAGGTATATTTTATAGCTATGCAAATTTCATTTTATCTTTATACACACAAAACAAGAGGCAGCTTTTGCATCTTTTCAGCATGAAATGGGTAAATGATTGTGGGGGTGAGAGGGAGTAGGAAATAGAGGAAGCCTCTGAAAGCCCTAAATTCACATGCACAGAACAAGGCAAGAAGAATTTTAAGTTAAACTCAAGAATGATAAATATTGTAGAAAGTGCAAATGAACACAACACTTTCATCTGACAAACTGTCAAGACTACGTTAGCACATTCTTGGATAAACATTACCAGCACCAATCTGAATGTTATTTTAGATTGTAAAATATACCTTTTATGCCTTATAGCTCTAATTTAGCCAAAATATAAACATTCACCTTAACTTAGTTAATGCTTGATTCCTAAATACCAACTTAAAAAACATCAATTTTGTTTCTGGGACAATAAACAGACACACTTCAGTGTAATTGTCTGTCCTCATATAAACCTTGAAATTGCTTTATATAAACCTTTAGACACCTTACAAGAGGGTTATTAGTACCTCTGATTTCTTCCATTTAGAGTTATCACTAATTGTACACACAAATGCTGCACACTAATGATGTGTGTGCAAGTATTAATAGAATATATATAAAACACAACCATTGTCCTGGATAACAGGTAAGATTTCCCTTAATATTATCAACACTACAGGAATCCTTATTAAGCTAATGGAAGGACAAGCACAGTGAAATCTTACTGTAAAACACCTACTATTGCTGTTACTCAATTCCCAATATTTTTCAAACAATCCAATTAAACACAAACACCTTTAAAGTTAGCTGAACACCATGCTATTAAATTCATTGCTTACGAAAAATAAATACCAGTACTTTAAAATGCAAAGACATTTAATTACATCAACTTTAAAAAGGTACAATCTATAAAATTTTCTGTGTGTAGTTATACACAGCATGCATATGAAAGGTTTTCTTATGGTATAGCTATAGTCTCACAATGACTATTTACTACTACATTTTGGAAGAGTCTAAAAATGGATAACATGCTCCCAAAAAATTGACAAAGCTTCCTAAGGTCTAGTTTAATAATCATCTGAGCTTCCCATTCCTTTTGTGGTACTATTTACCATTTGTGAAGATTCACAGTGCTGCAATTAGTACTGAAAACCCAGAAGACCAAATCAAATATCTAGCTGAGTGTTTGCCATACTCTTTTTTCTAACTCTCTGGAGAATTTCTTTGTTCATTTTAAACATGAGACTCTAAAAACATCCAACTCTACTTGGGGAGCACAGGAACGTTTCAGACTTTCCAATGCTCTGGGTGTCTCTGAGCCTTAGACTGTCAGATGATCGGACTGGACGACAGGGGATGGATCACCACAAGTGCCCTGTTCCGATCATTCCCTCTGAACCACCTGGTATTGGCCACTGTCAGAAGACAGGAGCGGACACTGGCCTAGCCTGACCATTGGTCTGACCCAGTATGGCCGTTCTTATGTGCTTCAGTCCATCCAAGTCAGCCGCTGTCCAGGCTGAGGATCCACCCCCGATGAAAACACAGATTCCAGCAGCCCTCAGCGCCAATACTTCAGCACTTTCCATGCAAGCAACTGACTAGGTCTATTTAAACGGGATCCCGGGGGCGAGTGCAAAACTTGCAGGGCTTGGCCGGAATTTGACACACACTTTCCACTGGGAAAGGGGGAGGGGAGCGAGAGTGGCCGCATAGCCGGCTCCCGTCCCCCTCGGAGGGGCAGCAAGCGGGGAACGGAGGGGTCAGTTACTCACTGGTTAGTCGGGGGCGCGGTGAGCGGGATGGCCACCTCCTCCTCTTCGTACTCCGGCCCGTCCAGCGAGTCTCCTTCATCCACGGTGCCCAGCCCCCCTACCAGCGGCAGCGGCGGGGGCGGCAGCGGAGGGAAGCCCCCAGGGGCCGGACCTCCTGTTGGGCCGGGTTCCTGCGGGGCAACCGCCCCCCTGGGCATCTCCTGCTCCAGCCCGGCGGCCACTGCGCCGCCTGCCGCCGCCGGAGGGGCAGGCCCCGAGCCCCGGGCCAGGAGTCCCAGCGCCGGGCACAAAGGGGGGGCGGCGCCCGGGCTACCCGCGCCGGAGCCCTGCGGCCCCTTGCCCCGGCACAGGGCAGGGCAATGCCCCGGCTCCCCGGCGGCGCTCGCCGAGCCGCCCTCCTCGCCTGGAGCTTCGGCCGCCATCATGGTGAGCCTCGCCCCCTCCGCACGCCGGGGAGGAGGCGACCGAGGGGCCGAGACCCCCCGCCCCGCCCCAGCGGGGAGCGGAGCCGGGACTGGGACCAGCGAACTTCCCCAGCGGCGGCGGCTGCGAACAATACCCGGCTGGGCGGGGGCTGGATTCAGGGCAGCGCGGCAGGGCCACGGCGCGGCTGCCTCATCCCCCTGCGGCCGGGACGGGAGCGGCTCCCGCGGAGACTCACCCCGCCCGCAGCGAGCGCAGCTTCGGAACGGGCACGGGCCAGGCTGGGCGGGGTGGGGGGGAAAGGCAGGGAGACTAGCGAGCGGCTCCCTTCACATTGCGCATGCGCGCCAGGGCCGCCCGCGAGGGGCTGGCTGAGCGCATGCGCGAGGGGCGCGCTACTGCGCTCCTGTGGTTCCGGCCGGCCCTGAGTCAGGGAGCAAGGTAAAAGCTGGATTCACCTGGAGCCTTGCAGGGATCGCGCATGGGGAAAAAGAAAGAGCTGGCGCTATCTGGAGCATGATGATTTTTGGCCCCCGGGTTATAACGTCAAAGGAGAGGACAAACCTAGCCGAGTCTACTGCACCCGACACATCCTGACCGTTTTGTTTCCAGACCACCAAGTTCTACTGCTTAAATAAAGAATATATGGAGCCATGAATCTCACCAGTGCGGCTCTATGCACTCCAGTGCAACAGCGCCTCTAAAAGCAGTGCTAGGGCTTGGATCTTGTTAGATTCACTTGCCAGATGTGTGCTTTTGCAGCGCTGTTGCACCAGCATACTGGGATCCGGTTTAGTCTAGTGAACTAAAAAAAGCTGCAGATGCACCATGTAAAACTGGGCGGCCAAACCTTAACCAGATATAACAGGATCCTGGAATACAGTCAGAGTTTTCTTCTACAGCTTTCTTGTATTAGGATGTGTTGGGGTACAAATTTTGTTTGGTTTTGGTTTGGTTTAGTTTTTGTTTTCTTTGTGGAATAGTAGAACCAACTTGTTTTCTATTTTGATGGTACTGTTTCTGAGTTTGTGGCCTAAATTTGGCTGGATCTGACAGGAATCAGATCCAGGTTCTTGCAGTGGTGTTACTTTGGTATCCAGCTTTTTTTGTGCACTAGAACCTGCTAGACCTTAGTCCTTATTCCATTTTTTTCTAATATCTCTTAAGCATAGGAGGAGCATTGCACTTTCTATTTCTATACTGTGATGTCCATTCCTGTGTCTCTGAACCATGCTCAGCAGAGCAGGGATTAGAGTGCTGATCAGAAGCATTTAAAGACTAAAGAACCTGCGTGGTGGTGTAGAACCTACTATATAAAACTGTTGTTGCTTATGTAGGATGATGGATGGAGATTCAGAATCATATACCCAAGCTAAAGAAGTGTTTGGTTGGAATTGCATGCCTACAGAACAATAACAGTCTATGTGTTCTATGGAGAAATCTACCCTTGCTAATTCACCTATCTTTTTTTTTCTTCAAAATGTCATAAAAGTATGCAGATGATATTCCCACAGTAACAATAAAACACAACATACAAAAACCAGATACTGTATATTTGTTTGGCTATTATGACATAAACAGTGCAATGTTTTAAGAGTTGCATGAACAACTCATTTTATTATTAACAATAATTTATTTCTGTGTACATTTATGAAAATGTATCCTTTTCTATTATTATGGTCCTGACCCTCAAGCATTTATGCTTACTCTTAACGTCATGCCTATTAGTTGTTCCATTGACTTCAAGGGGACTAGTCACATGTATTAAGTTAAACACATATGTAAATACTTACATGAACCGGACCTATGTGGCTAACATTGCCAGACAAAATAACCTTTTGACTTGCAAAATTAAAATAGCTGGCAAATAATAACATTTTGCCTCTTTGTCTCTACTTTTTTCTCTAGGCTGTTATGACTTTGTACACTCTCTTATTTGTTTATACTTGTATGTCTCAAATCTTCTCGTAAGGCATTTAAATATTCGGGTTTTCAGAGCTTTGCCCTCCCCAAAAGTATTACGTTAATTTTTCCTGAGGCCAGCAAAACAAATATCTGTTCATACCCCTACTTCTACAGTTTTCCAGCCCACATCTTTTTATCTGCTGAACTGAAGTTGCATACCTTGCCTTCTATATACAAAATTCTGCTCATAGTTACACTACTAAAATCAATGTAGTTACTCTGAATTCGTGCCAGCATCAATGAAAACAGAATTTGTCCTGAGTTTAAAGCAGGGATCGGCAGCCTTTTAGAAGTGGTGTGCCAAGTCTTCATTTATTCACTCTAATTTAAGGTTTTGTGTGCCAGTAATACATTTTAACATTTTTAGAAGGTCTCTTTCTATAAGTCTATAATATATAACTAAACTGTTGTATGTAAAGTAAATAAGGTTTTAAAAATGTTTAAGAAGCTTCATTTAAAATTAAATTAAAATGCAGAGCCCCCTGCACTGCTGGCCAGAGCCCAGGCAGTGTGAGTGCCACTGAAACTCAGCTCACGTGCCGCCTTTGGCACTCATGCCATAGGTTGCCTACCCCGGTTTAAAGGATTATAACACATCTATACACTGCTGTGGTTCTGTTTCAAAAATTGCAGCCTCGGTGGCAATATTTTACACATCTGATTTCCACAGACACGTTTCATTAATAAACATGCAATTTCAAATACTCTTGAGTTGACTGTCTCTGTGAGCTTCTGTTTACTATTGTTTATTTTTCCTCACAGATTTTCAAATAAAATGATTTTAACACATTGTTGTTGCCTTTGTAGGAGTGATAAACACATTAATGCAACATAAATATTTACAGGATTCCTTTCTTTGGGACAATGGTTTCTAATACACCTCTATCCCGATATAACGCAACTCGATATAACACGAATTCGAATATAACGCAGTAAAGCAGTGCTCCAGGGGGGCGGGGCTGCTCACTTCAGCAGATCAAAGCGAGTTCGATATAACGCAGTTTCACCTATAACGCGGTAAGATTTTTTGGCTCCCGAGGACAGCGTTATATTGGGGTAGAGGTGTACTACATAAGGCCAGAGTTGCACCTACAGGGTCTGCAATGGCAGCTGAGCTGAGGATCCACCCCAGGGGAGAACAGAGGGCAGCTACAGCATTCCTTCATGGGTTTTGGAGAGGAAGGCAGCTATGTATTAGGCCAGGTCTCCACAAGAGGTGAGACGCTGTCTATGAGATTTGTTAAATAGGTGCATCTCAGAAACTGCCAATTCTGCCCTCTCTAGGCCAGACCTATATGTCTGATAGGTTGTGTTAGCTGTCCCAGCTCCTTTGGCAAAGCAAGGATTGAAGTTGGCTTGCACCACTGTGCTGCTGTTCCAGGTGGACTTTCCACCAATTGTATTTTGGGTTCTATTACACAAACTTTCACAGGGACAGACAGAGGCACTATTTGTATTAATGTATTTGGACCAAAAAAGAGGTGGACCCATCCATATATGCTTGATGCCTGCCCGATGTTTACAAAAAATGCTTTTTTACTCAATATCTTGGACAAAATTATGTTGGGACCATTCAGCCCCCCTCCTAGTGGTGTTATGGATAAAGAAAATTAGTTGATGAGTAAGTTAGACCTGCCCTGGGGTTAGTTTCCTGTAACGTGTGTACTATTTTTCAGGGAGGGGGGGAACCTGTGGAATAACACATCGTTTTTTCAGTAATGGCTAGTGGGTCCAATGTACTCTAAACTTGGTCATACTGAAATTTCACATCACAGATAAAGTGGAAATTTTCTATTATTCCAGTTTCAATATGTTTTAGCTATATCTAGTCATATCTGACATGTTTTAGTTGTATTTGGTCAATCTGTGGAGAGGAGCAAAACATTTTTTATATTGAGCATGAATGTGTATCCCATAGAAAGTATATTTGGCACACTTATTAATGCTCCTGTTACTGGCCTCCATTATGAATCTTTTTAAATTATGTAAACATGATTAAAAAGTAAGCATTCCCATTCGGTAACCGGCAGTTCTCTTCCTCCCTTTAACAGACTCGGAACTCCTGTCACAGAGTCTGCAACACCCCTACATTCCGAATGATATTATTCACTCTCAGGCTTCTCTCAGACCCTAGAGTTTCAACACCCAGAAAGAGCAGGAACAAGAGAATTTTCAGTCCTGCTGCAGGGCGGTGATGTCCATGCATTAGGAAAATGAGTATTCCTTTGGTATTCAGTCTGTAGCCAAGTGAGGAAAGAGAAAACCACTTTCCTAATACATGGACTTCGCAATTTTGCTAGTCCAAACAAGGAATGTTGGACTCTAAACCTCTTTTTAATAGACTTGCATTGTACATAGCAAATCCTTCTCCCCCAGGGACATACTGAAATCACATTTTGACACACAATCTTGGCTTGACAATTCTGAGTCTGAAATCTCTAGGCTAATTATTCAAGATGGAGGGTTCAAAACTCTCCCCTTCTTACAAACCTTCTTTACTTGACTTCAGTGGGATTAGGATTTAACCCAATGTATCTATTTTTTTCCATTTACATGGAACTATCATTTGTGACTTTTCTGAAACATCCCATTCTTGCCTTTGGTTGACATTCCTTCTGCTACACCTACTATTTGTTCATCTTGACAGATTTTTTGTTCAAAGCTTACTTGGCTAAAGTTTCTTTGAGAACTGTTTTTGCTAGGTGTAGAATTTCTGTGAGTTATCAATTAAACCATGTTCATATCTTAACAATGTAATCAAACCTGACTTAGAAAGAGGAGTTATTTGCCTCTAAGCTTATTTGTATCTTCTTCGTTTTAATGTAAAATATTTATAGTAATGTACATGTCATTACATTTAATCACGCCCCACATTACCATTACAATTTTAAAACACTGAATATTTGTAGGAGGTTTTTTGTTCTGCTACAGTTCTACTTGTAATCCATTTATTGTCCTCCAGAGACTCTAAATGATTGTTGGCACATGACTGTCCATGCATAATGTAGAGTGTTTGAATAGTCAACTCAGGTAGTGTAAAAATACAGTATATCAGAAAATGAATTCTTCATAGGAAGCTATTTTAAGCTACAATATTTCATTCTCTCAGGTCTTTTAAATATGTAATGTAAATACAACAAAGCAGGCAGTCATTCTTACCATATCCAGGCTAAGTGCCTTAGCAATTTATCTGAAAAGGACTACACAGTTGAAAATGTATGCAGCATAACAGAGTGCAAAAAGATATAGCCATACTGTGTTAAAATGCCACAATATCTGAATAAAGTAAGTGCAATAAGTGACTTTCTGTGTATTCTAGTTACTGTGGCCACATCAATGAGCTAAGCAGCTTTGAATACCACCAGTAGAAAAGTACTCCATA